CTGAAAATTCCATATTCTATCACAAATACATAATCTAGTCTTGTTATTTCGTTTGATTGACAGCATGTTTTTTACTGCAAATAAATATGCCAATAGATCTAATCGATAAGTAAATATCGAAAGATGAGTGAGAGTAAACAGTATTTGTCAGTAATATAAGCTGATAATACTGTTTACTTTTTTACATATTTCGTAAAAATATTAACTAATGTATATTATTTAATATAGCTGTGTATCTTTCACACACATACGGTATACACGGTGACCTTATCCGTTGGCTATCTTCTTATCTGCATAACCGGAGTCAAGCAGTAACGGTCAAAGGCCACATTTCATCATTCTTACCAACCACATCTGGCGTTCCTCAGGGCTCTCATCTCGGTACTCTTTTGTTTAACACCTCCAGGTAAATTTCTAAGAAATTAATGAAATTTCTAAGAAATCTATTGTTAACTGTAACGCCGGCGTATCCGCGGTCGTTGAGGAATTAACATATTTTTAAATGATGTAGAGAATATTTTCAAATATTCTAAATTTCTATTGCTGATGCCATGAAAATCTTTCGACCTCATGACGGTATGATATTAGAACATGATTTGAATGGGCTGTATAATTACTGCTGCTTTAACTCACTTGTTACCTTATAAATAAAGACACTATTAATCCAGTGAACGAGGCGCGAGACCTAGGTATTATAATTGATAGTAGGTAATTTTAAATAAAACTATCTTTTCGGATTTTGTCGCGGATTTATTTGTATTTTTGTTTCCCGACGTTTCGAATGCTTTACAGCATCCATGGTCACGGGAGAGACTGAGGTGTTACATGTCTTAAAGATATAGTTGTTACAGACAGCCTACCCACAATTAACAAAATGAAAATTGTACCAATTACATTACAATATTTTAACTTTAAATATTTTTATAATTTTAATTATAATTGAATATGGAAAATTATTTATTTAATTTTTGCTATTATTTTTATAATTATTACAATTTTAAAAATATTAATTAGCAATCTATATTTAGTGTTGCCATTATCATATTTATAACCATAAGAAAAATATAAAATATAGTATTAATTATTTAAGCCACAATTGATCTGTGTAATTTGAAAAAGTTAAGATTAATTAAAAAATAATAATTTTAATTTAAATTTGCTATTATTTAAAAACAAATTATTAAGCAACACATTACTACATACATTTACAAATGAAAAAGTGAAAAAATATTATTAATCAGAAATGCTATCATTTTGATCTACACAGTAAGAACTTACTACATCTACCTGTCTGTTATGTTTAGATTTATTATTAGATTTTATTATATTAATAACAGGATCCCATGACGATGGTAGTACCCAGCCATCTTCCCTATTGAAATTAGGATGTTTTTTAATTTCTATGGCTTCTCGAATCATTCTAGGGCGATATCGGTTTTCTTTCGCCAGGATTTGAGGCCTATCGAAGCGAATATAATGGCTTGGGCGGCCCTGACTGTGTTTGCAGACAGCAGATGTTGTATTGCGACGGTGCTTCACATCAGCTATGTGTTCTTGATTCTCATTGATGATTGAACACTCCGATGCATTGAATCTTGATGTCAAAAATCTTGTTCCATCTTGTGCAAAGCCGCCTAAACTGTATGGACTCCCAAAGATACACAAATCTAACGCTCCGCTACGTCCAATTGTGAGTCAAATCGACACACCGACTTATAAATTGGCCCAACTGGTAGCGAAAGTACTCTCAACACTCAGAGGACAAACATCAGCGTTTACAAGGGACTCATACCATTTTGTCAATGAGATAAAACACCTACAACTCATGGACAATGAAACTATGGTCAGTTTTGATGTACAGTCTCTATTCACCAACCTACCAGTAGAGGACTGTGTCAAAATAGTATCAAGAAAGCTAAGGGATAATAGTATGCAAGAAGAATACACTGAACTTTTGAAACACTGCCTTACATCTGGCTATCTATTGTGGAATGATGAATTCTACAAGCAAGTGGATGGAGTGGCCATGGGTTCGCCGGTCTCTCCCGTTGTAGCTGACATCTTCATGGAGGCCTTCGAGGAGACCGCCCTAAACACATCACCTGTGACCCCTCGTTTCTACAAGCGGTATGTAGATGACACTTTCACAATATTACCATCTGATAAAATATCTGTATTCTTAGAACATCTTAACTCCATAAACCCTAAAATACAATTTACAATGGAATTGGAGTCTAATAATTCTTTAGCTTTCTTAGATGTATTAGTCATACGTAACCCAGATAACACCTTGAGTCATACTGTGTATCGAAAGAAGACCCATACTGATAGGTACTTGAATGGTGAATCTCACCACCCCCCTTCACAGTTAGCTACCGTGGGAAAATCTTTGTTTCAGAGGGCACGCGGGATCTGTGACGAGCAACACCTGGCCGGAGAACTGCAACATGTCAAGCAAGTTTTGCGAGACAACAAGCTGCAAGTGCCGCGCCTACGTCACAGGGACCGAGTGAAACCAGCCACAGTCGAGCGCGTCCCTGCAGTCCTACCTTACATGAGAGGCGTCACTGACAAGATTGGCTACATTCTAAAGCGAGCTTCAATTAAAACTTACTTCAAGCCGCCAAAGAAAATTAGTCAGTTTCTACCACCTGTCAAGTGCCACATCCCTCTACAAGATGCAGGAGTTTACAAGCTTGATTGTGATTGTGGGCTCTCTTACATCGGACAAACAAAGAGATCCATTAGAACCCGGGTCAAAGAACACATAGCTGATGTGAAGCACCGTCGCAATACAACATCTGCTGTCTGCAAACACAGTCAGGACCGCCCAAGCCATTATATTCGCTTCGATAGGCCTCAAATCCTGGCGAAAGAAAACCGATATCGCCCTAGAATGATTCGAGAAGCCATAGAAATTAAAAAACATCCTAATTTCAATAGGGAAGATGGCTGGGTACTACCATCGTCATGGGATCCTGTTATTAATATAATAAAATCTAATAATAAATCTAAACATAACAGACAGGTAGATGTAGTAAGTTCTTACTGTGTAGATCAAAATGATAGCATTTCTGATTAATAATATTTTTTCACTTTTTCATTTGTAAATGTATGTAGTAATGTGTTGCTTAATAATTTGTTTTTAAATAATAGCAAATTTAAATTAAAATTATTATTTTTAATTAATCTTAACTTTTTCAAATTACACAGATCAATTGTGGCCTAAATAATTAATACTATATTTTATATTTTTCTTATGGTTATAAATATGATAATGGCAACACTAAATATAGATTGCTAATTAATATTTTTAAAATTGTAATAATTATAAAAATAATAGCAAAAATTAAATAAATAATTTTCCATATTCAATTATAATTAAAATTATAAAAATATTTAAAGTTAAAATATTGTAATGTAATTGGTGCAATTTTCATTTTGTTAATTGTGGGTAGGCTGTCTGTAACAACTATATCTTTAAGACATGTAACACCTCAGTCTCTCCCGTGACCATGGATGCTGTAAAGCATTCGAAACGTCGGGAAACAAAAATACAAATAAATCCGCGACAAAATCCGAAAAGATAGTTTTATTTAAAATGTCAAATATTCGCGTAAATCTAAGAAAGTATTATGATAGTAGGTAAATTGAGTTTCAAATCTCATATTACTTATAATCCCTACGTATGCTTGGGTTTATTTTGAGAACTGGAAGGGGCTTTAGAAATGTTCAAACTATAATGCTTCTTTATAATTCTTTTGTAAGATCGACGCTTGAATATGGTTCAATTATTTGGAATCCTATCTACGTAACACATTAACGGAGCTAGAAAAAGTACAAATTAAATTACTTAAAATTAAAATAAAATAAAATAAATAAAAATAAAAATTAATTAATTAAATTTTTAAAACATTTACAATATAAATTTTCACATTTAGATACAAGTAAACTGCATATGCCTACACTCGAAAATCGTCGAATGGAGAGATACACTATGTTTTTACTGAAGATTTTGAAAAATATTATCGATTCCCCTTACTTATTAGGTAATATTAATTTTAGATGTCCTAGAACCAATACAAGAACTAAATCTTTATTTTTTATACCATGAAAAAAACTAAATATATAACAATACCTTTATATTACGTGGATGCAATAATTATAATAAACATTTTATTGATATAGATCTTGACACAATATGTTCCATCATGAAATGTACAAAATTGATTAGAGAACTTATGTACATTAATTTTATAATGTTTTGTTTTGTCATTTAGTTTTAGTTAAGCTTAATATGTGATTATTGTTTTTGAGGTTTTATTTTTTTTAGTAACTGTCAATTTCAAACAAAATAAATAAATATTTATATAGAAATAAATCTATCATTCAAAGCAGACTCTTAATCTAGCAGCTGTTTGGTTTCAGCAATTATTATAGGTATTAAATAAAACTATGTTATGGATTTCATTTTTATTTTAGAACCCAACTTTTCGAATGTTTCTATGTCAAATGTTCGACCGTTTCTTCAAATTTCAATAATCAGAAAAATACACAATTACAAATTAATTTAATTTAAACTATATATATCGTAATAAATAAAATCAAAAATTCTTTTTTATACAAACTTCATAGAAAATACACTTTTCCATACAAAAAAATTTACCCGTAAGGGATGCTGATGATGATACTTTTGAGAAATCCCAAGCAATTACGGTAAACTTCACAGCAAACACATGGTTTAAAAATTCTGCACTTTTTTCTTCAATCTGCTGGGTGTTAACGTAACTGACTCATTACCAGTCATTTTCACTGACCTTCTACATTATAAAAATACAACATATTTATAGAAATTCCTCCTCCTTCTCAATAATCATGCAGAGTTGGAGAGTAATATTTTTTTATCCCTTTTATTTTGCTATGTATTGAACCATAGCTTGAGGTTTCCATTCCATAGGTACTCAAGTTTATAATTCCTTAGTAGAAATATCCTTGTGTTACTTTCCATTGTTCTGGCTATTCTGACGACTCCAGTTGCCTGATGGTCGATTTGGAAAAGTTGGTGCCACACCGGTCGGTGACTGTGGTGGCGAAGGTGGTAGTAGATTCGTGGCTGGGTGGTACACTTTTGCTGACATATAGGTCCCACCTGAAAGAATAACGATGTTTATGATAATTTACGGTAATTTTAAAGTAATATCAATTTCAATTTTAAAATTTTAAGGGGCTTTTGACTAAACGTTCGTTTTCTGTGTAGAAATCGCTTCATTGTACTTTCGTAAGGCCCAAGTGATTCAGCTCAAGATTTTTTTTGAGAAACTTTAGGAGACGTCTACAACTTTAGTGCCTCCCGTGACCGTGATTACTGTAAAGCATTCGAAACGTCGGAAATCAAAAATTAAAATAAATTCGCGAAGTAATCCGAAAAGATAGTTTTATTTAAAATGTCAAATATTCGCGTAAATCTAAGAAAGTATTATGTGAATCTATAAAACTTGAATTATTACAATGTACATTGGGTAAAGAAGAAATACTTTGTTTATCAGCAATTCTGCCCAAACTTTAAGAGTCTGGGCAGGTATGCTGAGGGCTTAAGCACACAATTACGTTTTAACGTGCTGTCGATGGACATGTCATAATCTCAAATTATAATACTTATTATAGACTAAGTAAGAACTCCTCAGGAACTTCACACCAAATTTTATCAAAATCAGCTCAGCCGTAAAACTATGCTGACAGTCATTTTCGTATTAGTAGTATGAAGAACTGATTGTCTACAAAAAGAACCTTCTGTGTAGAAAAACTTGTGAAACCACTCACCGTTAGAATTTGACCTGCTAAAAGAATGTTTCGCAGTATAGTCCTTTGAAGGCGGCATTTTGTATCTGTAACAAAAAAAAATATACTTATTTACCCTCTGGTATACATATTATTCACCATTTACCATTTTATTGCCCAATTTCTTTAACCATCCGAACCATATAGTTGCGTTTTAGTATATACTATAACAGCTATACAGTAGTTAAAAAAGAATCAAAAACTCGCTTCCATCCGATTAAGCTAAAATTGTGATATCTACACAGATAAACAAATTTGAAGTGTCTATTTGTAATGTCAAAACAGCAGCTTTTTACTAAATGCATATGAAATTATATATATGTACGTTACTTATAAGAAAAAAACAATTTTTAAAATTTTTATCCATCTGTCTGTCAGTTTGTTCCAGCTAATCTTCGAAACGGTTGGACTGATTTTAATGGGACTTTCTCTGACAGATAGCTGATGTTATGAGAAGTAACTTAAGCTACTTTTATTTTAGAAAAAGAATTAGGGTTCCGTTCATAAAAGTTAAAACATATCTAAAGACGCTCCCGAGCAAAGTGAGGGTAAGACGCTAGTGTGTCAATTATTATCCATATCTATCTATACTATAATATTATAAAGGGGTAAAGTTTGTGAGTTTGTCAGTTATCTTTGGATCTACTGAACCGATTTAGATGAAATTTTGTAAAAAGATAGTTGAAGACCCTAGGAAGGACATAGGATACTTTTTATCCTTAAAATCATCCCTTAAGGGGATGAAAATTTTTATTGAGAAGCAAGCTAGGGACAAACCTGAGCGAAGCGAGAGTGATTCGCTAGTATAGTAAAGACAAAATTGATAAACTTTAATGTTATCAATAAAACTTTTTTTTATAATTTCGACCACTGAGCGAGTACTAGTTTAAATAAAAGATATTGTGCTAAAATCATAGCATACTGAAATTGAATACTTAAATTAAAAAAAAATGGGTTCGATTAAGACACTCATATTAGAAACTAACGTTTAGTATAGATTTCTCAGAGATGAGATATTTTCCCGCAGGAAAAAGTATTCTATATGTTGACCCGGATAACTAGCTATCATCATACCAAATTTCATCAAAATCCCTCCAATGATTTTATTGTGATGCGGTCACAAACAGACAAACAAAAATTCTAAAAACTATAAATTCGGCCTCTGTATTGATCTTATTGATAATAATGTCTATTTTAATAAGATTTTACAAAAAATATTTAATGTACAGATTCGGCTTAGTTAGAATTTTATTACATGTATGTATAGATGTTTTTAACGGAGGCTCCCAATCAGCCTCCATAAATAATTTCGCCTTTGATTTTTACTTAGCCTTTTAGAGCTTATCAAAGGCATTTTATAAGATAAGTACTTATGTAACAGTATTATTGAATTCATAGCTTTCAAGCAAAATGTAAAGCAAAATTTATCATGTCATTTGTTTTTATTCATTTTAACCGACTTTAAATGGGTTTATGTTTATTATAATTAATATCACTAAAAATGTAAATTTTGTTTCATAACAAAAAATATACATTTATTATTGTACGTTAACAAAGACAAAAGCTAATTTCGAAAATTGATTTTATCTATGCATATACATATAATTATACAGACTCCGATTCTATAGTTTTTAGAATTTTTGTCTGTCTTTCTGTATGTCTGTCTGTCTGGGAACGCATCACGAGAAAACCACTGGACAGATTTTGATTAAATTTGGTATGATGATAGCTGGTTATCCGGGTAACATACAGGTCACTTTTATAAAATAAAATATCTCATCTCTGAGGAATCTATACTAAACGAATCGAGGCAATGACAAAACAGTTCAGTATCTTTTGCTCATCTGTTGTTTTTTAAACTGTTGACGAGCTTTAATGTTATCAATAAAAAACATTTTGGACACAATTATCTTTTGCCCGCCCATCTTTACATGAAAAAAAAATCAGGTGGGGCTGTGTCAGGACATACCGCCATTACTTTAGCGTGAAACGTCTATTTCAGTGATTTGTTTTGTAGTTTTTAGTGTAGAAAATAAATTAGTATAAATTGAATCTAAAATAAAAAATATAAAATATCTTTGAAGATAGCAATTACGGAGAGTATATCATATATATCATTTTTCAGACAATAACTACCGTTACTATGGCAACCTAATGCAACCTATTTCGTTACGGTCCACTTTTCTGATCTGGTCCCGTATGTTTCGTGTGATTTTAAAGATGTTTCACGTCAAAAGAATTTGGTTGGATTTCTAACCTGGATATATGGATAACCAGTGGGCGGATATGAGTAAATTATAATGTACATTAACAAAATATTCCACCGATTGATTTTAAAGGAAAGGTATGCTATAAAGGATGAATCAAGATAACCGTTCAATCTAGAAGCTTTTAAGCGATTAGCTGCATTTCGATACACAAAGGGATTTTTGGGTTTGATCGTAATTTCGTCCTTTGGTTGTTGGTCTGGTTCATAAATAGGGGATTATACTTCTTTTGTGGGTTTTAGCTGGAAGATTTTAAATTTATCCTTTATATCCTATACTCTTTGTAAAGGAAATTAAGTTTGCAGTTTTCTTTTGTCTTCTTTTAATTCCTTAACGTAATAGGTATATAAGAAATAAGCAAATAAACAAATATTAATGTAATACAATATGTAAAATATGCTTAATTTATTTAAACGGTTCTCGCTCATTGGTAGAAATTCGTTCATAATTATTATTGAAAGTTTTATGATTATTTGATTTGATAATTTGAAAATGTATATGAATAGAATTTACAATCTATATAAAAAGTAACTGTTCCAAATTTTTTATTAAGCTCGTCAATATCTACTAAACAAAAAAAAATATTGACAAACAGAGGTGAAAAAGGTAGTGACGTGTTTTGTCTTTGTCTATTTATATATAGATAGATAAGGAGGTACTCAATTTGATTTTTTTTCAAATTGAATTTTTTTTGTGGTAATCAAGTTAAAAGTGATTCGTACGCAAAAAACCCACAACCACAGCAGTTACCGCTGCTAACAATTACGTTGTACATATTTTTTTTTACTTAGTAAATTATTTATTTCTTTAAGTATTTATCATTCTTATTTTTAGATGTATGCCACCACTTGTCCTCTAATTAAGGTTTTTATGAACCTATTAATTAATTGTGCTAACTTTTTATCTATCTATACTAATATTATAAAGAGGTAAAGCTTGTGAATTGTGAGTTTGTGATGTTGTATGTTATATGTTGTGGGGTGATCTCTGGATCTACTAAATCGATTTAGATGAAATTTGGTAAGAAGATAGTTTGAGACCATGGGAAGGTCATAGGATACTTTTTATCCCGGAAATCATCCATTAAGGTGGTAAAATGGGGATGAAAGTTTGTATGGGCAATCAAGTTAGGGACGAACCCGAGCGAAGCGAAGGTGAGTCGCTAGTATATTATAATTTAATATAGTTTTAATGATCTTATTTTACCGACCAATCTCTTTCGCGTATTCTCCGTTCTACGTCACATTGGCGAAGTAATCTGTGCTCAACTGGCACGCTTTGAAGCCATTAACAAGAAAATTGAATTTAGATTTATGCGAACATTTGATATTTGAAATAAAATAATCGGACTTTTTTGCGTGTAGTTTATGTTTTGGTTCCCGATGTTTGAATGCTTTACAGTAAATATGGTCACGGAAGAGACCGGTAAAGATAGTTTTATGACATACTACAAATTTCATGACTTTGCCTTATTTTCCCGGAAGCATACTCTATATTAAAATAAATGTGACCACCTCGATGTAACTTAAAAGAATACAATTTAAAATAGCAAAACCTTTTTTCAAGAAATCGGTGAACATACATAAAAACATACAGACGAACATTGCACTTCCTTTTTGGAAGTCGGTTTAAAACAAATCAAGTTATATCATCCTGTTATTTTATCATCTAACTTGTATATGGGTCATATCATCGCGGACGTTATCGTGATTGATAATGATTGTTCACTCGACTCGTCCTCATATCATTTATTTATATACATTGAAGTAATTGTCGTATTTAAAGAAAGTCAAAGTTATGAAATTATATTAATTCTTTACTGTCTAAGTAAAAAATCAAGGCTCTATTGCTAATTTGAAAAGAAAATGGCTCCGTTTCGAAAAAACGAAATAAACGTATTTAATCGTTTTTATCTAATTCATATTGTTTAATGTTTTATTTTACGGCACTATTATTGTAAGTTTGAAAGTTTGTGCGTGTGGACAAAAGCAAAGTAAGGGTAAATCACTAGTTTTAGCAAACCTCAAAATAGCTTGGTGACGATCACATATAGCTCTAGGTATTTCATGTCTTTAATACACTACACGTTATTGTAATACATACATATAATAAGTTCCAAGACTAAAGATAGACAAAAAATTTAAAATACTATAGATACGACCTCTGTATCGATAATAATGACTATTTCAGTAAGATTTTTGTTAAATATTTTTGGAAAATCTTATTGAAATAGTCATCATCATCGATACAGAGGCCGAATTTATAGTATTTAGAAATTCTGTATCTCTGTATGTCTGAGACCCCATCACGAGAAAGCCACTGGGCAGATTTTGATGAAATTTAGTATGATGATAGCTGGTTTTCCGGGTTAAACAACAACAAACTGGAGATCCGGGTAAAAATAAATGTAATTTTTACCGCGGGAGAATATCTCATCTCTGTTAAATCTATACTAACCGTTAAAACGTAACCTGAGCGGAGTGAGGGTAAATCGCTAGCGGTAAATAAAATAAATGAAAGGCATATATTTATAAAACCCATTCTATCATTCTAGCTGGATATTTGTATAAGGTAGCAACTGTATCGGAACGCTTTCACACCGAACACTGTGAGGAAAGTTTGCCTGCGTTTGAACTGCTCTATGCATTATCTTAGTGTAGATACACCTCATCCAATAAAATATAAAAAATGTATTAATTATTAGTTTATGCCCGCGACTCCACTCGCTTGTTAAATACTTTCATAAAAGTAAGGTCTTAAAGCAGAACATACG